TTCTAACCAAAGTCACACTCTCTAAAAAGCATTTTGGAGTACATTTTGGAGTACTGCTTTCTAAAAATACCCGATTCAAATTCACTGACTAGAAAAGGGAGAATGAAACTTTGAGTCTTTAGTTGGAAAACAAAAAGAGAAGTAAAGAAAACTATTTAAGACTTAGAGATTAAAGAGAAAAAAGGGGGGTAAGTGCTTTGTGTACTAAGACATGTATTATTTTAAAAATAGATACTAATGTGCTATTCTTGATCATACTGGAATAATTGACTCTTAATAGGCATTAGATACAAACCTGAGTAAATACAACATGAATTTACCAGAACCAATGGCTCAAGATAGTGAGCTGAGCCCATATTTTTATTTACTATGTTATTTTCAGCATATGTCACTAGAAAAAATACCATATGAAGAAGTGATCTGACTCAAAAACCAAAAACAGCTAAGCCTGAATAAGTCAGAAATTTTTAAAAAGTAAAAAAAAAAAAGAAATGAAAATCACAGTACAAAGTTACTGTGGATGGGCTATTCCTTCCATTGAAGAGAGAAATCCTAACATCCAAAAAATGGAAGTAGGTAAAGGACAAATTATCAGAGTGGTCAATTCAAACATTGCTTCCAATACAGAAGAATCAGACCATCCAACTGCTCAGAGTATACAGAAAGTCCAGCAGCAGAGACATTTGACCCTAAGACATTTAAATATAAAGAAAACCCATCCAATATAGCGTTCACAGTTTGTATGTTAGACCAAATACAAAATCAGAATTAAAATGGATTTAGGGGGGTATTTGTAGTGGACATGCAAAGAATGATAAAGGAAAAGGCTGCTCAACCCCAGAAGGAGTTACAGTCCTTTTCCACGACAATTTTCTCTCTTTTTTGATGAGCATGAGGTTCCTACCAAGCTGCCTGTTTTATACTCAGATGGTTCAGATGGAATCTTACTTGTTAACATGCCACAATCCCTTTCACAAAGTTGCAGTCCATCCTCCCATTCAATGCAACCATTGTGCTAAATAAATATACAAAAACAAATGGGAGATATTTCTATGACAGATTTTTCAATCACTCTTGTTCTTCCCCAAATCACCAAACATTTGATACAGACAAAAATATAAAGGAGAAGAAACTAACCAAGAGAACAATTGCTCTCAGCGGGATCAGAGTAAGCTTTATAACAATAGAAACAATTTCAAAAATCATTTTAATCTTCTCAGAGAGATTTAAGAAGTTGTTGAATCTACAAACCAAAGCAAGAATACCATGAAAAAGTAGCAATCACATTACAGGTAAAAAGGGTTCTTTGGGATTGAAAATGAGAGTCAAAATATGCCAGTAATGGTATCTTAAGATGACCAGACGTCCCACTTTTGGCGGGACAGTCTCAATTTTTAACAATTTGTCCCGCGTCCTGCAGAGTTTTAAAAAAGTCCCAATTTTTGGAAAGAATGCACGACAAGCTAGGGAATGGCGGGAGAACAGGAAGGGAATATACGGTTTTCAGCTGCCATGTGGCTATTTCGCCAGGATATGAGTTTTATATTATTTTTGTTAATTTTATAATGTTAAACTTTAATAACAAATAATGTTGAGAACTGATTATTGAGAACTGCATTGTTAGAATTCAACAAGAAATATGCCAAAGAATAAAATAATATTATACATAATTTTTTTAATGAACTATATTTGTAAATTGTACTTATGTTAAAATTTAAAAATATATATTACAATACTATTTTTGCATTCTATGGACATTTTTGTTGCTCCATATAGACCAAATTTTTAATTAAGAACCCCCTCCCCCATCAATGGTGTCCTGCTTTACCAATGTTAAAATCTGGTCACCTTAATCATTATTCTTGCCACATCAGAACACCTGAGGCTGGGTAATTTATAAAGCAAAGAGGTTTGTTCGTTTGTTTTTTAAACTCACTATTGTGCAAACAGGAAAGTATGAGCACCTGGCCCTGGCTTCTGGTGAGGGCTTTCATGCTGCACAATGTGCCAGATTAGGTCACAGGGAAAGAGAAAATGAGTTGAGAGTCAAAGCCCGAGTGTCCTACTTCATAACAACCCACTCTCAAGGGAGTGAATCCCTTCCTGTGACAATGAGAACCAGCACTCCCTCCCCACCAGGAGAAGGGCAGCAAGCTGTTCCTGAGCGATCAGTTCCCATGACCCAACACCTCCCCTAAGATCTCACCCAACACTGCCACACTGTGGATGAAATTCTAATGTGAGTTTTAATGAGGACAAGTAAACCACAGCCCAAATCATAGCAGTGGGAGAACAAACTAGTATTCTATAAAAAGAGGTGAAAAAATCTATAATACAAAGTAAAATAGATAGCTCTAGAATCCATGTATATGAGTGGGAAGGCAACACAGAGTATTGATGAACCGAAGCTGAGCTCTGTCTAATAGCAACTTAATAACTTATAAATATAACTCATAACTTACAAATATAACCTCTTATAACTATGGAGGTTTATATATAAAGCTCTTTTCTTTATAAATTACCCAATGTAATGGGGGTAGGAAATAACACTGCACAGAGAAAGTGGAGGAAAAGAAATGATTTGAAAAACATTTAAATAAAAATATCCTGATGAGAGTCCAAATCAGAAGAGAATGTGAGAAGACTTCATGGAGAAGGTCTCCAGTATAAAAGTAACTGTGCCATGAATCTGCTAAGAAACAGAACGATTGATTATGGCATACTGCTTGTGAGATGAAAACATACATTCTTTGGGATTAAAAAAAATGATTAGAATGAGACAATTAGAAACTGGGAAAAACAAGTGCATGATCAAAAAGTTTTTGTTAAATAAAGGATGCTTTTGTAAATCTAGTGGGGGAAGAAAATAATGCTGCCCTAAAAAGTAGACCAAATTGTCATTAATGACATGAACCAAGACAAGACAGGCCCCCTGTGGATTTCTAACCATCTTATCATTTGAGGAGGTATGTTTCATTTACTAAATGTCATATAACATTTATAAGATATTTTGCTTACAAATGAGCTTTTTATTAATTTCTCTTGGGAAATTATTATAACCATAGGAATAGAATTTAAAACTTGATTTTTAAAAAAAAAATTATAGATTTCTATACTTACCTTTGGATTAGACGTAATGGAATATCTCTTGTTTTTATATAACAGTGGATTATGTATACTCTGGAAATCCAAAATTATTCAAGTCAAAATAAAGTACAACAAAAACTGAATGCTTTTCACTTGAACGGATTTTATTTTTAAAGTCAAAATTGTGACGACTCCATTACCAGAAATGTGGCAGTTCCTTTGGTGTTAGTTTCTTTCACTTGTTTTTGTTTGTTTGTTTGTTTGTGGTTTTTGGCCGGAGCTGAGTTTGAACCTACCACCTCCAGCATATGGGGCCAGCGCACGGCCCTCTTTCACTTGTTTTTAAATAAGAGAAATGAAGTTCAAAAACCTTTTATTACAATAAGCTAAATTGTTTGCTGTGGATAATATGTTTAGAGTGTTTTCTATGTGTTCATTATATACTTTTTTCTTTTTCTTTTATCTACTTCAGTCCTTCTTACACCCTGATTATTTGGGAGGCTTTGTAAGTCTATACAACATATTATTATCTTTGATGTATTCATTGTTGTTGGGGAGAATTCTCTATGCCTCTCATTCTCTCCATAATTTACCGTCTTCGCCTTCAAAATGGTAATTGTTAACACTGCCTACCCTATTGGTATTTATTAATTATTAGAACTCTGACACAATAGTTGTTGAAGAACTTACTATCACCATAAGGATAAAAGGAGCCATTCCTCTAAACTTGTAACTAATTATATCATCATGAAAACATTTTGTGTTTGGACACAAGAATTTAATTACTTCAAATGCAGTCTGTGTGCAGCAGAACATCATTAAAACAGGGAAACGTTAGGTAGCCTGCCACTTAGCTTACTACACTACGCAGTATCTCATCGCCCTTTTACCTTTTACTTCTCCCCAAAATAAATGACGTAATAATGAATGAATGGACAAGCAAATGACTTGAAATCGGAATCAGAGTGTGATCTATATATCAAAGCTCTGCATGGATGTCGGGACCAAGCATGTATGAAAGCCTAATATTTGGAAGGTGTCATGCAGGAGAATATCTTTCCTAAACTAAGGGATGAAATAGTATTTGGAGAATTATCAACATAATCTCTTTGAGTCTTCATAGTAGATGATGATCACAGCTAGGTCAGATCAAGTGACCACATGATGTCTGTGCATTGAGAACTGATGAACTGCATAAGAACAGTACACAGTACTTTAGCAAGCCAACAAGTATCAAATCAAAGAATTTCCCATAGTACATTCCATTTTATAGAGTCTAATAGAGTGTATCTTCTGTCACTGGTGATTGCAAAATGAATTTCTAAGGTTCCTATTGATTCTTTGGGTAATGTTGAGCCCGACAACATTTAATGTATATTCCCTCTCGCTCCTGTAACTTAGTGTCCTGGGTCACTTATATTATTTAGGGATTCTCAATCCCTGGAGACTAAACATCAATTTGCTTTTGCCATCTGCTGTTCCACACTTAAGGAATGCTCTTCCCCAGATATGTGCTGCTCCAGCCTTCAGGTCATCTCATTACAGAGGACTTGACTACATTATGCACTTTCTTACACTCCCTTATCCCTGTACCCTGCTTTATTATTCTCTGCAGCATTTATTACCACCAGATATATAATGTATGTTTTGTTTATTGTTTATTTACTATTGTTCATTTTCCCACAAGAATTTCAACTCCCCAAAGAGGAAACATATTCACTTCCTTATCCCTATTGCCTAACATGAAGTAAGCATCTAGTAAATAACTGCTCTATCAACGAATGAGTCAACGACTACCTTGTATGTGTGTGTGTGTGTGTGTGTTTTACTTTAAAGCCAATACATATTTCAGAAGAGGCTTGCAGTTAAAGAGAAAAAAGTCAACATTTTTATTCCAATATTTCAAGGAAAAATTAACATTTTAGTAGGGGATAACAAAATTTCAGCAGAATCACAGGTAAGACCAGGCTGAGAAAAGCCAATAAATTTAAGTTGGCCCTGGGAGCCTTATTCTTCCCTCTCATAAGATCTGAAGTGTGATAGTGGCAGGACTGTCCATGCCAGCCGTAATAGCAGTGACACACAAATCCATTCTTCATGTGCGTTATTGTCTTTACTTTACTGTTTTCTGAAATGACGAATCTGAAACTCTTATTTTCGACATATTTCTTGCCACTATTTCCAGGCATATGCAGATAGAAGGAGGACTCTGGTGTTTTTCGAACACATCTTCCACGATTATTACAAAGACTGTGACTGCAGAGCTTGGCTGCAGAGGTCACATTCACAGCATAATGGCCCAAAGGTCCTTGGATAGATTTTTTCACAGATAAGCAGTTCTCCTGCAAGAAAAAAGGAGATCTAATGAAAGCACTCAAAATACAATCTAGTTTCAGTGGATTAATTATTTAAATGAGGGACTAAGCCTTTATAACAGTGGTTCTCAGCCTTCCTAAAGCTGCAGTCCATTAATACAGTTCCTGTGAGTCACGACCCACAGGTTGAGAACTGCTGCTTTATAAGGTCATGTGAGTAATGAGCCATGACTGATTAAGAAGACTATGACCCAGCCAGTCTAGTATCATTTCCAGAGGAAGATGACCCCCCATTTTCCCACTACAGACTATTCCCTAATGTAAAGACATAGTTGTAGTAACACTTTTAAATATACCAGTATTATGGGATGATTTGTTTCATTCTTGCACAGGGGCCATGCTAATCTTCACTATATCATTCCAAATTTAGTATATGTGCTGCTGAAGCAAGCAGGGGATGATTTATTAAAGTGTAACTGGTGAAATATTTCTAGGGCTAAAATATGATAACATTTGGTCAGATTTTTCTCCATGTTTTTATAACTTTACCAGATGTGTGTATATGTGTGTGTGTGTGTGTGTGTATTCTTATATATATGTGTGTGTGCACAATTACGGACAAGAGGTAATATTATGTTTTTTAAACATTTATAAAGATATGTATCCTGTGGATATTTTTTCTACAAGTTAACATTTTTAATTTTTATCTTTTAAACTTAACACTTTCAATTTTTGTTTTCGTGTTACTACATGGAGCTCTGGTTATTTCATGTTAGCTACTATTCAGTATTTTATAATATAAATATCCCATACTTTACCTTTCAGTCACTTTGTCAGAGGTAGAATATAAAAGATCATTACAGTCAAATGCCTAAGTCACATTTTTTTTAATCTACACATTTATTTTATTTCTTTATTTATTGTTATAGAGACAGTCTCATTTTATCGCCCTCGGTAGGGTCCCATGGCATTACAAAGGTCACAGCAACCTCCAACTCCTGGGCTTAGGCGATTCTCTTGCCTCAGCCTCCCAAGTAACTGGGACCACAGGCACCCACCACAACGCTGGGCTATTTTTTTGTTGGCAGTTTGGCTGGGGCTGACTTTGAACCCACCACCCTCACTCAGTATATGGGGCTGGTGCCCTACCCACTGAGCCACAGCCACTGTCCACCTAAGTCACTTTTGATAGAATATAAGGTATAATATGGCTTATACCTAAGGAAGTATGTCTTCCGACACACCTGCATTAGGTATTTTACTGATGTGTCCACAGCATTGGGCTTTCACGCTAGGGCTCACTTCTACCCTAGCCATCACACTATGCTGCAAGGATGGGCAGGCCCAACTGAAATACCGTCACTTAGCCCAGAAGCGTCCGGGGGATCCTGAGGAGTGCCTGCCTTGATCCCACAGGAAGCACCACAGGAAAATACTCATAGACGCCTTAATAATATAAATTGAGTTTTCTATTATCAATTTATTTATTTTATAAATATGAATATCCATTTAGAACAGTGGAATATTTTCTCAGAGAAGAGAGCCCCCAGAACTATGAATCCCTCTAGAAAAGATTTGGAAGATACAAATGGACAGTCATAAGGCAGAATAAAACTTTTAACAACAAGCAGGTGAAGCGGTAGTACTTTCAGCAATAGCAATTTCTCAGAATCAGGTAAGCAATGTTAATTGTTATGGGCACATTCAGTCTGGGCCAGTCTCGTAATATAAACAAATATACAAATTTTTTTATAAACAAATGCTTTTTTTCTGTTAGAATGGCTTTTGGCAGTGGGGGGGGGAGCAGTGCCAGTGGCTCAAAGGAGTAGGGTGCTGGCCCCATATGCCGGAGGTGGTGGGTTCAAACTCAGCCCCAGCCAAAAGAGAAAAAAAAGAATGGCTTTTTTTAAAATTTCAGAATAGTATGTGGCATATGTGTTTTGATTACATACTTTATTTTTGCATAGATTGAGTCAAAGTTATCCATGTAAGTGTGCCCTTCACCCAGTGTGCACTGTACCTGACAGGTGTGAATTACCCGTCCCCTCCTTGATTTTCATTGAGATTTACTTTCATATGAGCACTTAAGTGCTTATGGGTTGGGTCCAATTTGGTATTAAGTACATGCACTTGTTTCTCCCTTCTTGTGATGTTTCACTTAGAAGAATAGTTTCTAGTTCCCCATGGGTTGTCCAAAAAAGATACTAGATTGCCTTTTTTATGGCTGAATAGTACTTCAAACTATGCATATACCACATTTAAATCCATCCATGTACTAGTGTGCTCCTGGGTTGTTTCATGTCTTCATGAATGTGAACTATGATGCTATAAACATTTGAGTTCAGGTGTCCTTTTTCCTTTGGGTGTACACCCAGCAGTGGGATTGCTGGGTCAAATCATACGTCTGCTTTACATTCTTTCAGGTATCTCCATACAATTTACCCTAGAGGTTATTTTTAATGAGGACAAGACTCCTTGTCTGAGGCATCTAAGTGGGTTTCCAATAAAGATAGAATAAAATAAAACAAGCAAAAAATTGAACCAAAAGAATGAAGAAAGCGAAGGAGGGGTAAAGTTAGGAAGAAAGAAAGAGAGAGAGAATGAGAGAAAGAGAAAGGCTGATTGAGGGAAGACTGCAATTAAGAGAGCATAGGACATCAGCAAACACAAGTTCAACTTGCACATTCCCTATTCTGTCCCGGCCCTTCTCCTTGAAATGCCTTCTTTACATAGATTCCAGAACTTCACACTGTCCTGGTTTTTACCTGCCTCATTGATTGCTCCTTCTCAGTCTCCTTTACTGGCTCCTGCTCATATTCCCTATGTTTGAACACTGAAGTGCCTAGACTGAACTCCAAGAGAGCTCTTCCCTTCTCTCTTCCTTTTTGTCTTTCTCTGGAGAAACTCAATCCATCTCATTGCTTGAAATACAACCCTGAGCTAAGTGTGGACCCCCCTCATACTTGACATCTCCACCTGATGTCTCACAAATATATCAAACTTCATATACTCCAAAATAATCTAAGGATTCTTATCCCAACATGTTATGACACTAGCTCTGACAGCACATCCTCATCTGAGCAGTTTCAAACTCTCCCTTTCCAGGGTCTCGGGAGCAAAACCTTGGAGTCATTCTTCATTCATTTTTCCTCTCACGTTTAATCCATCAGCAAGTCCTTTCCAGTCTATTTTCAAAATACACCCAGAATTCGACCATTGTTACCATTCTGGGTCAGGTCACTATCAGCTCTGACCTGCATTATTGCAATAGCTTCTCATCTAGTCTCCAGCAATCTGTTCTAAATACAGTGTGTATGTGTGTGTGTGTCTGTGTGTGTGTGTACATGCACAAATGCATCAAGAGAGGAGGCCAAAAAACGTGTACAAATTTGAAGAAAGGAAAAACACTGTATTAAAATTGTAATACTCAAGACACATTTAACTTCTGCAAGTCTGGGGTACTGAGATACAAGCGACAAAGACAAAAACGTGTCATCAGTTAACATTGGGTATTACAATTTTAATACAGTTTTTTCCTTTCTTAAAACATGTACACATTTCGACACCCTCTGCATACACACACACACACACACACAGAAATAGAAATAGAAATTCATAATAAAAGAGGTAATACAAAAATCTTAGTTTCCTACAGATGAAGAAGACACTCTTACTAATTGGTCCAAGGGAATTTTAAAGAATGCAATATCAAATGAATTAGGAAAACCGTAAGAACTGGAATGCCCCATAGTAAAACTTATGAATACAGCAGATCAGTCTCAGCATTAAATGCCCAGTCATCAGTGCTTTTGTTGACCAGGCAATCCAATCATCAAAGAAGAAACAAGGCATTTGGTGTGCTGTGGCTCCCACTTAGATTCCCGTTCAGCGAGATGGTTTCTGGTGCTACTTGATGGGGTGCTGAGAAGTATCCTGTCTATGTGTGCTTTCCTCAATGCTTCCTGCTCCTCCCACTCTCTGCATCTTCTCAGTGATTTTCCTACTCTTGGAAGCTCCACCTCCTTCATGGAATGGTGGCATTTTCTATCTTGATCTCTTTACCAGCCACTGGCCACTAATTCCTAGGATTCAGCAAGCGGCATTTTACCCATCATGGCAAATCCTCCACACCTCTTGTATATTTGTTCTTAGCTTTTGTTCTCAAAAAAAGGGGGGGGGCAACATTTTCATGGAAATTTGTCTTCTGCTCTGTCTTCGGATCTGCAAAAAAGGTCCTAACACTTTAAAGCATAGTAACACTAAATGCATAATTAACACTTTGCAGTCCAATAGTTTTGAGTATTTTAAGGAAGAATAAAAAAATAAATGAAATAAGCATTCAGTAAGTTAGGAAAAAGTGTTTTTTTTTTTCTTTGCAGTTTTGGCCAGGGCATGGGTGGCCATGCCTGCCACCACCTTCAGCATAGGGCCAGCGCCCTACTCCTTTGAGCCACAGGCGCCACCTATAGAAAAAGATTTTTTAATGAAGCAATCCCATGGAAGGAAATAAAGTTAAAAGCATGAATTTATGAATTTAGAGAAGTGAATTGCCAAATGACACCAAGAACCAGTTCTTCAAGAAAATAAAATCATAAAATATTCATATCTGAAAAATCTGACTAATCAAAATGGTAGAAAAATGGATATGAGTGAGAAAGAAATAGAATTATGGTTCAGAAGTGAATTTTTAAATTCTAAGTTAATATAGTATGTGTACTTCTATGCTGATGACTCAAAAGTTAGATGATATATTTTAAAAATTCATTTAAAAGATAGAAAGCTTAATTAAAAATGGATCATTAAATTAGAGAAGAAACATTATCATAAAAACTTTACTACACTAAAGATTCTTTGTGTGTGTGAGACAGATTATCACTCTGTCACCCAGGCTACAGTACAGTGGCATCATCATATCTCACTGAAACCTCAAACTCTTGAACTCAAGCCATCCTCCTGCCTCAAACTCCTAAGTAGTGAGGACTACTAACACCCACCACCATGCCCAGCTAATTCTTCTATTTTTAGTAGAAATAGGGTTTCACCCTTACTCAAGCTGGTCTCAAACTCCTGATCATAAGAGATCCTTTCACCTTGGCCTCTCAGAGTACTAGGATTACAGGTGTCACCCACTGGCATGACTAGCGTTTTTATTTTGAATTATTTTCAGGATTTTTTTGTTGTTGTTGTTGTTGTTGTTGTTGTTGTTTGTTTGTTTGAGACAGGGACTTACTCTGTCTCCCAGGCTGGAGTATAGTGAGTAATCATAGCTCACAGCAAACTCCAACTCCTGGACTCAAGTGATCCTCCTGCCTCAGCGTCTCCAGGAGCTAGGGTTATGGGCATGGGCCACAATGACCAGCTAATTTTTAAGTTGCTTTTGTACAGACAATGTCTTCCTATGTTTCCCTGTCTGATCTTGAACTCCTGACCTCCAAAAGTCCTCTTACCTCAGCCTCCCAAAATGCTAAGATTACAGAAGTTAGCCACCTTGCCCAGGCTACTTGTAAGCATTATATAATTCCATGTTTGAATTGTTCCAGAGCATAAAAAAAGAAAATGAAAATTCATCTAATATATCTTTAAAGCAAATATAACCTTTATGTAAAAACAAACTGAAGAAAATCACAAGCTAGTTTTACTAGTTGAATGTAGATGCCAAATTTAAATTTAGTTCTAAAACTCAACTGCCTTCCAGGACAGATAATGAATGGGCACAAGCTGAAGAGTGGAAACCCCAGGTCATAGAACCATCCACCACTCAGCAATGGTAAAATCTGGGCTATTATTGTTAGACTTTTTGAGTTTTCAATGATATTGTACACACTTCATTTTCTTATTTATTTTCCCACAATATGATGTGGGCAATACAGAACATATCATCATGCCAAATTTTTATACACAAGCCCCATATTTGTGATCTCAAATTTATATAAATATAGCGAGGTTCATGTCTGTCTACCTATAGTTAACCAAATTGCAAAATCTCAGGACATAATTCTACACAAAACCACCCTCAGATCTGACACCAACTGCAAGTTCAAAGGTTTCCCCAAATCACTTTCAGTTTCAATAATTCCCTAGAAGGACTCACTGGAAGCTATTATACTCATGGTTATGGTTTACCATAGCAAAAGGATACAGATAAAAAATAAGCCAAAGAAAGAAATGCAAAAATCAGAGTCTGGGATAATTCCAAATGTGAAGTTCTCATAGTTCTCTCCATAGGAAATCTCCCAGGGAGGTTTGCCTAAGCTTCAGTTCCCACAAGTTTTACTGGGCCTTCATTACAGAGGTATGATTGAGTAGTTGAACTCACTCTGCAAAACACTGATACTACATGGTCCAAAACATCTATCATTCAGTAATTCCATTACTAGATATCTATTCAAAGAGAACCCATTTTATCAGAAAGATATCTGCTCTCGAATTTTAACTGCAGCACAATTTACAATCACAAAGATGTGGAATCAACCTACATGTCCAACATTTTATGAGTGGATAAAGAAATGTGGTGTATGTGTAAATGTCATAGAGAACTATTCAATCATAAAAAAGAAATAAATTAATATCTTTTGCAGCAATTTGGGTAGAACTGGAGACAACTATCCTACGCAAAGTATGTCCGAAATAGAAAGATAAACACCATATGTACTCTCTAATAATTGATGGGCTAAATAATGGGCACACACAGATACATTGAAATGTAAAGGCCATTGGAATCCAAGAAGGGAGGAGGATGAGGAGGGACGAGGAGTAAAAACTTACTTTGCAGGTACAGTGAACACTATTCTGGTTCATTACCCTGACTTCTTTCATTTAATAAAAGTTATCTCTGTAATAAAAACATCTGTATCCCCTTCATATTTTGAAATGTAAAAAGCAATTAAAAATTATACAAAAAATAAAATTTAGAGTTCTTTTTTTTGAGACAGAGTCTCACTCCGTCACCCTGGGTAGATTGCTGTGGTGCCATAGCTCACAGCAACCTCAAACTTTTGGACTCAAGAGATCCATTTGCCTCAGACTACCTAGTAGCTGGGATGGACTACAGGCAGCCACCACAATGCCTGGCTATGGTATTCTTTTTAATCATATATATTATGCCATATAATTTACCAAAATCTTACAAAGTAGGTTTTTCTTTTAGTACAGTTTTGTAAATGGAGAAGCTAGCACTCAACAATTCTTAATTAACATGCCCCAAATTACAGCCCTGGAATATAAACATCAGTTTCTCACATCACTGTTTCATTGGAAAGACTGGGCTCTCTTTATCCTTCCACTAACCATAGTGTCTGGCATACAGTAGGTATTCAAACAATGTTAGATTCTGTCATTTTTGAACATCATTAAAATCAAGTGAACAGACAATCAGAAGCCATTTGGCTCTGCTGTGAAAATATTTTTTAAAAACCAAACCAGTATCTATAGTATACTCAAGATGCTGATGAAAAAATAATTGCTTACCTTTGAAGCAGAATAATTGTATCCTCCCCACAGTATTATTCCTGCTGCCCCTAATGAGGCACTTTCACCAATTGTATGTACTAAGTCCTCCTAAAAAAGAGAAGTGTCAGGAGTAGTTTCTATCAAACTAAATTCACCCACTGATAATTCAGAAATGAGACTTAACCTGTCAACTGTGGTAAAGAGTACATTAATAATATTATCTCTGTTTGTAAGAAATGGGTATACTGCAAAACAAATAATTCCTGATCTCACACACATATATGTAAATCTAAAAAGTTGATCTCATAGAAGTAGAGAGTAGAATGGTATCTCCCAGAGGCTGGGTAGTTAGGAGGCAGAATGAGTTGGGGAGATGTTGGCCAAAAGATGTTGATAGGTTACAGTTAGATAGGAGGAATCAGTTCAAGAGATCTATTATACAGCACGGTGACAATGGTTAATCACGGTATACTATATTCTTGAAAATGGCTAAGAGGGTGTTCTCTTAAGTGTTCTCACCACACACAAAAAAAATGATAAATATGTGAAGTCATGCATTTGTTAATGAGGTAGACTTCACCACTCCACATGTATAGAAACATTACATTTTACATGATAAACACATACTACAATATTGTCTGTCAATTAAAATAAAGTTTTAGAAATGCACATACCAAAAAATGTTTCTTTTAAATAAAACTGTCAGACAAAAAAATAAATTTATTAATGAAACAAAGGGGTGCAGCAGATTAGAAAACGTGATTCTGCCTTGGATTCTACATTTATTGGACAAACATGTGTGACATTCCAGGCAATATTCTAGACACTAAAAATATAAAAATGAAATAGATTTCAGTTCTTGTTATTGAGCAAGTCTAATGGTTGAGCGAAACATATAAAAAAGTAACTACCACATAATAAATTAATTTTTATATTAGTAGCACCTACAAGGCATATTCATAGTGTGGATTAGAGGAAGTGCCATTGCATAGAAGAGTTTCCTGAAATGGGTGAAATTTTAGATGAACCTCTGCAAATGAGTAGGAAATTCACAAGACAGACTAGAGAGAGCAGAGTTTTACGTCCACAGGAAGAGTGAGCAAAGAGGCTCATTTCTTGCACGGGCTTTCCTGACAACTGCCAGTTACTCACTGTGGTAAAACATGTGGGAATTGCAGAAAACTGAAGCATATGAATCCTTGTAGTGAAGGAGAGTTGACATTCAAAGAAAAATGCTAAAGTGTTAGGACTTAACTACATAAACTTTGAAAACTCTGCGACTTTGAAAGATACTTTTGATCAAGTAAAGAATGAATGGGAGGAAGGACAGGTGGGGACACCAATTAGGAGATGACAGAAATTGTTCAGTGAGAAATGATGAGGTGTCAACAAAGGCAATGCCAGTCCTTGTAAAGCAGAGAGAACAGATTGGGTAATTATTTGGAAATTAAGATGGATAAGTTTAAGTTACCTACTGGATATTGGGAAGAGAAGGGAAGCATCCAATTGATTCTCAAATTGAATAGTTATAATGGTTTTAGTGCACCAAGATATAAAACCGAGGAGGTTATGTTCATGATTATGGCACAGAGCCAAGAAGCAGAACATAGGGGGAGATGGAAGACGGAATGAGTGAGTGTAGGAACAATCTGCAGGCTTTCCTCCTCCCCCAGGTGTGCAGAGTCAGCGATCCAGTGCACAGGTGGAGCACTTGAAGGCTGGACTGGGTAGATGGCCCTGCCACTCAAGCTTATCTGAATTATAGGAAGTCTCCAGTAATGCTGGTACTTGTGTTCTGAAACCATTCTTCCTTTACACTACTATCACCTTCATAGACATAAATTGAGTCTCTTATTTGAGACCCCTCTTTAAAAAAATACCAAGAACAGTCAGTTAAAAACAAACAAAAAACCCTCCTTTCCTTAAATGGTTATGTTACTTAGACAATAGGTGAAGAAAACCCATACTGTTTGTGAATATGTGAAAAAATAGAAGGCAATGGAAACAGAACAATTCAATGTCATACTCGAATAATTCTATACTTTTTAGCAAATAGAGTACATAGTCTATTGATTTCTGATGTAGAAATCAGAAGAGATACTTAATTTATCATTTACTTCAAAAGTTTTTTGTTTTGTTTTTTTTGTTGTTTGTTTGTTTTGGAGAAAGAGTCTCACTATGTCACCCTCAGTAGAGTGCCATGGTGTCACAGATCAAAGCAACCTCAAACTCTCGGGCTTAAGTGATTCTCTTGCCTCAGCTTCCCAAGTAGCTGGGACTACAGGTGCCCACCACAATGCTCTGCTATTTTTTTGCTATAGTTATTGTTGTTTGGCAGGCCTGGGCTGGGTTGGAACCTGCCAGTCCCAGTGTATGTGTCCGGTGCCCTAGCCACTGAGCTACAGCACCCAGCCAACTTCAAAAGTTTAATAGCACAAAAAATGGGAATGCTCTGACCACAACTTTCAGAAAAATGTCCTTTGTTTCATTCTCCCACCTTCTCAAAAGATGCATTGATTGTATGGGTTATTATTTTTCACTGGTATTACTAGTAGCATATCATTCCTGACAAAATGTAGGCACCAATAATTTTGAATGAATAAATATAACCTAGTCTCTTTCTTCCCCCAAGGGATTTGAGAAAATGAGATGCCTTGAGAGCTCTGTCACTTGAGGAAGACCTCAGTGAAAAGACTTTGACGTCCTCAGATACATGGACAACCAGCTTTTAAAAGAAGGGTTTTATTTATTCTGTGTGGCACTAGAAGGTAGAATGAGAAGTAGTGGAACAAAGTTATTCAGAGGTAAAACAGATTCAACATACTCAAGAACTTTGTAGGAATTCATATTGTCCCAAAATGTTAGTTTTCCTCCTGATACAGGAAATGCACCACCAAAAAGCAGAGGACTGGACAAAGGCCACCTAAGAAGGGCCAGGAGGAGCATCAGATACCTAGGAGAGTCCTCCAGCTTTTAGCTATGATGCTATGATCATTTTTCTCCTAAACTTACTGAACACTCCATTTTAATTAATACCAAGTAATTTTGCAATGATGAAATGTTAATTAAGTCTCATCAATAATATTTGGATCAATAGATTTTATTCTGAAATATTTCAGGAAAAATTGGTACTGCTTTTAAATGACCTTATCTTGAATATAAGTGATTAAAGGCAGTGTGAGCTGCCTATCGAACATGGCTCCTTCTATGTCAGGTACTGGAATACAGAATGTCATTTCTCAAGTATTGATGGAGTTTGAAAGGTTTTCCTATAAAGCCATCCTTCCAGTGACTGAATCCTTACAATAATGTACTGAGTGACAATCTACATAAAGCTTGAACACTTCCAGTGACTGCAAACTCATTGTCTTCTAAACAAGTTCATCTGAATATTTCTGAGCTTCCAACTTAGTGTTAAGTCTAAAGTCAGTATTTGTCTCTTTATATAAACCACTTTCAATGCCTTGACTAACCACTAGATTACATTGTAGACTCTGAAAGACAAAAATCAACAGACTCTGTGTTACTTTTTTCAGGTAGCCTAATCAATTAAAACATAAAATTGCAATGTAACGAAAAGATAGTTGATTAATAATTTACCCTAAACTCAGGCCAGGCACAGTGGCTCATGCTCGCACTCTGGGATGCCGAGGTGGGACAATTGCCTGAGCTCAGGAGTTCTAGGCCAGCCTGAGCAAGAGTGAGACCCCCCAGCTCTATTAAAAAATGGAAAAATGAGCTAGTCTCTACCAGGTATAAATAGGAAAATTAGCCAGTGGTGGGCACCTGTAGTCCCAGCAACTCAGGAGGCTGAGGCAGGAGGATTGTCTGAGCTCAGGACATTGAGGCTGCTGTGATCTAGGCTGATTCCACAACACACTAGCCTGGGGCAACAGAGTGAAACTGTGTCTCAAAATAATAATAATAGTTTACCCTAAACCCTAGTTCATACTTTTTTTGTTTTTGTCTTCTTTTCTTTGAGACAGAGTCTCACTTTGTCACCCTGGGTAGAGTCCTGTGGCATCACAGCTCCCAGCAACCTCCAGCTCCTGGGCTTAGGTGATTCTCTTGCCTCAGCCTCCTGAGTAGCTGGGGCTACAGGTGCCCACCACAGTGCCTGGCTATTTTTTTGTTGCAGTTTGGCAGGAGCCGGGTTTGAACCCACTGCCCTGAGTATGTGAGGCCAGCACCCTACTCACTGAGCCACAGGCACTGCCCTATTTTGTGTGTTTTTGATTTGGAAAATTGCTGCTCCCACTTCCTATTAAGAAGATGATTGTGAGGTGATATGCTTCTGCCTGTAATTGCAGGAAGCTGTAGTGGTAAGATCACATGAGCCTAGACTTGGCAATCACCCTGGGCAACACAGTGAGATGCCATCTCTACAAAAATTTCCTTTTTAATTTTTCAAAAATTAGCTCAGCATTGTGGTGTACACCTATAGTTCTAGCTACTTGAGAGGCTGAGAGGCCTTGCTTGAGCCCAGAAGTCTGAAGTTACAGTGAGCCTAGGCAACAAAGAGAGACCCTGTCTCAAAATAAATAAATAAAAACAAACAAACAAAAAAAAGATAAAGAAGAAGAAGAAAAGAATTTCTCCTGGTTAATACCGACGTATCTATGTTAGTTAACTCCAGCTTAGCGACTGATCTGTTGAAAATTCTGGCAAATGCTTAGAAAATTTTAAATACACATCTAATTGTCAGTGACAGTTTCAGAATTGGGTCGACGTTTGAAGAAATATAGGCCTCTCATGATAGAATAGCATTGTATTATTAAGGAAAAATGAACATCCTAAAATATTTATATCTAGACTATATATAGCATTTTACTAAATTTTCACTTTTTATGTGAGTGACTATTTTTTTCTTACCTGTGACAGAACTTCAATACTTTGCAAATAAAATGGTCTGGAAAAAATAAAAACTGGCAAAACATAGTCAGGTCTAGCCATTTCAGCAATTCTCATGGCTTCTCTAACTCGATAATGAACAAATTTCAAAGCATTTAAACTTGACTTCAATATTTTATCCAAATATATTGAAGGATAAAGTGCTGTGCTTTTCCTCCACAACCACATGAGTTGGTTGTTGCGGAAAATTTCGCCATCTGGGCAATTACCTGTGTACATCTCCGGGTTTATCCTGTAATCATAGTTGTAGCAGTCTGGATAGAGATAAAATCCCCATAAACACTTTGGTCTCATTTCTAAAGCCAGGGTGAGGGTAATGTTCATCAAACTCCTTCCAGCATTTTCAAATTCCTCTTGGGCAACAGTTTTCACTTTCATTTCTGACCAATCAGGATGGTGGCTTCTAGTGAAGGCTAAGGAGTGGCTTTTGTATATTACTCTGCTACCCCAATTCCTATCCCACTGGGGTTTCCAACTTTCCCAGTCAATAACAACAAGTCCTGCTGATCTCCACCAAGGGAGTGCTTCTCCAATGTCATCAGCTGCTTTCCTCAGGTGTTTAGAGAGGCTCATATTCTGCGGTATCCCTCCATTAAAGGATTTTCCTTCTTGAGAGAAAAAAGGGTAATACCCTAATTCATTTGGATAAAATATGGCAATTGTGGATCCACTCTGAGTCTCTAAAGGATTTGATATAATGTCAAATACTTGAAGATTCATGTCCACATTGTAGAAATTCTTACAATACACTGTTGGGGCTGCCCAGAAAATGTTGAAAGGCTGGTTGTTGATCACTGGCGGCATTGCCGGCTTGAGGTCTGCCTGAGTTAATAGGATAAAGAGAGGCAGCTCCCCTAACCACGCCAAGCACAGGTTACACATGACTTGCAGTTTTCAGCATTGCATCAGTCTTCTGAAAAATGAAAAGAAAAAAGTATACATTATGGATTCAAATGTCCCTTTTGTTTTACAACACATGATAAATAAACCAAATTTTATGAGGTTCATTGACATGTAGGCCTCCATTTAATTAGCCTGAAATAGAAATGTATGTGATGAAACTATTTTGTTGGTTCTCTGACATATCTCTCTTGACATGTAGGCCTAATTTATAATTTCATCTGAACAAGAGTTTGAAGATGTTGTTGAGTTGAAGAGTTGAAGAGTTCACTCTTCAGATGAACAAGAGTTCATCTGAACAAGATTTTTTTTAACCTGAAATGTGAAAAAAAAAAAAAAATCCAGTGAATAAAACCTAAAAGAATTTCACACAAATCCTTGGCTTGCAAATGCTCCCTGCTCACCATTCTGGTTTAAATTTCCTATAACTTGGGGTACACTCACCCAAACCATCCTTTACTGACAAGACTTCAGCTGCAAGGTCAATTAGAAAATAAACTCTGAAAGGACTGACATATCTCCTTATTGATTACCAGAACAGTGACTTCAAGAACATGCCTACTTGAAAATTTTAAAATATTCACATTTTAACAAATATTAAATAGAACAAAAAGAAATAAAGAACTGTTCAGACCCTGTATGCAATTTGAAATGTACTGGCCTCCAGTGTTTTTTCCTTCATTTATTTTTAAAAGAGAGAGCAGTTACACTTGGAACTAGCATAGGCTGAAACAGAAAGCAGGTAGAGGTGTAAGTTACCT